AGAGAGAGAGAGAGAGAGAGAGAGAGAGAGAGAGAGAGAGAGAGAGAGAGAGAGAGAGAGAGAGAGAGAGAGAGAGAGAGAGAGAGTGCGGGAAGGGAAGCTCTGCGGGTAGCGAGCTCGTGCGAGACGGGGAAAGCTGCGCGACAACCGTGCGCTGGAAATCGTACGGGGAGAGTCGGGCGAGCCACGGGAGAGCGAGCGCGCGCCAGCGCACAGCCCGCGTGTGAGCGCTCGTGGTCTGTGCTGAGATCCGGGTTGCGAGTGATACGAGAGACATACCTGGTGTTTGAGGCGAATGACACAGACCGAGATCTACTCGTACTTCGCGAAGCTGTTGACGTCACCCGGGTTCCGGGCGATACGAGAGACATACCTAGTGCTTGAGGCGAACGACACTGGGCTGGGATATGCTCGTACTTCGAGAAGTTGTTGACGTCGCCAGGGTCGTGAGTGGTGCGAGAGACATATCTCGGGCTTGAGGCGAACGGCGTTAGCCGAGATCTGCTTGTACTCCGGGGAGTTACGATACGAGAGACATACCTATTGCTTGAGGCGAACGACACTAGTTGGGATCCGCTCGTACTTCGAGAAGCTGTTGACGTTGCCAGGGTCGTGAGTGGTGCGAGAGACAAACCTCGGGCTTGAGGCGAACGGCGTTAGGCAAGATCTGCTCGTACTCCGGGGAGCTGTTGACGTCACCAGCGACATTGTAGGTAGTAGGCTAGATAGGATCTGCCACTTGTAGTCAGAGCGTCGAGCGTCGGATAGGATATCGACATTGGTCCTTGGTTGAAGATGATGAGACTATGCCGGCGTTGCCACTTATGAGTTTATGCTGTGTTCTTATTTGGTGGATCTCGAGTTGCAATTCCGCCCTTGGATCGGGATTACGACTGTCCGGTTTCATATGTAAGATGCTTCTTGATTGCAGGCGCTCGCTATGCCGGTCACTCGAACGGTTGAGCAAGGGAAATAAGCTATGTTGAGCTTGACTCAGTTTGCTGCAGTTCGACTCCGTGTTGAGCTCGAGCGCAGTTCGACTTCGACTGAAGCTTGACTGCAGTCCGACTCTGCGGAGGGACTTGAGAGACCATACTGTACAGGATCAAATCGAACCAGACGGAATCTGATCGGATCAGACCCAGACAGATCCGGACCAGACTAGACCAGATCGGACTAGGCCCGGACCGGTTGAGACAAGACCAGACCAGTTCAGACCAGATCAGAGCACATCAGACTAGATCGGACCAACCCAATCTCGATCATAACCGGACCGGACCAGCCCAGATCGGACCAGACTCGGACCAGATCAGATCAGACCAGATCGGACTTGACCAGGTCAGACCAACCCAGATTGGACCAGACTCGGACCAGATTAGATCAGACCAGATCGGACTTGATCAAATTAGACCAGCCCATACCAGACCAGACCCGGACTAGACCAGACCAGACCAAACCAAATCAGATCCGGACCAGACCAAACCAAACCGGAACAGATTAGGCCAGACCAGACCGGGCACAGACCAGATCAGACAAGATCGGACCTGAACCAGACCAACCTGGAGCAGTTCAGAGCAGTCCAGACCAGACCAGACCAGAATCAGACCAGACAGGCCTGACTAGAATCCGACCGGATCAGACCGTGCCAGACCAACTCAGACCAGCTCAGACCAGCACAAACAGATTAGGCTAGACTATACCAGGCCGAGTGAGCCAAGCGGTACAGAGCCAGACTCCGATCGAGAACAGAGACTGGACCAGCAACACGAACCGGCTAAGGTCCGCGACTTCACCAACCGGAAAGGAGACGGGTTCACTATCGCTACCCCACGTGGGTGCTGCGGAAGTGCCCCGCCTATTTAGATACCAGGCTTATTTTACTCAAATGTCGGGCCCGTACACATGCGCCGGGCCTATTTACCGCATCAAGCCGTTCTCACGGTGAAGTCGCGTTCTGACGGGATTCAAAAGAACTTCACAGACTCTTTCTATGGGTAAGACCCAGGGCCTGGTCGCAGTGCGAACTATCATATTATTTTGAACTAAGTCGAAACACTCGTTTCGGTCACTTCTACGATTTACTTCGTCATCAGCAGTTTCCTGCCTTATTTTGCGGTGCTAGTGTGTTTTGTTGATACTGACGAGGTTGATTTATTGCAGGTTACAGGAGCCCTGACCTTCCCTCCCGTGGGTGACAGACACGGCGTGTGGTACAGGGTGAGGTCGGCGTGCTGGCAGATCGCTTCTACCAGTCGACAACGTACCATAAAGTCTTGGCTCATGTAGTTGCAAGTAGCTCTGGAATCGATCAAAGCGCTGCAGGTCGCCTCTCCGAGCTGAATGTGTATGTATAACAATGGCCCGTCGATGTCGTCGTACCGTTGTGTCTTGAACCCGTGGTCGATCTTCGCAACGTAGTCGTGAAGGTCGACAACCTCTACTACGACGTCCATCAACGGAGCTGGTACTGTAGTGTGCAAGTAATCCCGTAATTGTGCCATGAGCACGTTGCAATGCGGTTTCGACAATTGACCGGACGGGGGAAGGGGCATCCATTGGAAGTCCGCAAACGTCAACGGGTCGAGCTCTTCAAGTCTTCACCACGACGTCGAATCCCTGGCGATAGATGGCGGCGAAGCTGCCAAATAGGTTGTCGATGGTGGTGAAACCGTGCATGCGGTGGATTGTTGCACATGGAGTGGTTAGTCCAACGGTGGGACCAAGTGGACAGCATAATCCTCGTAAGTGAACCGAGGACTGCGACATTCGTATCCTCCCCAGATGTGTAGGGGGCTGCTAGCAAGGCAGCTGAATCCGGCGGAGTGAGAGGTGGAGTCGCCTTACCTCCCGTGCAACTCAGTTTCCCGAGTTGATGCGAGGCTGAACATCCTCCTTTCCTTGATCCGGGCATTGGGAGGTCTTGTGCTTGGTGCTGTTGCACCAATAGCAGCAGCCATACCGGTCGCGCCACTTGTATTCGGCCTCGGTCAAGTGAAACTTGACCCATGGTGCTGGCTGTCCGTTTCCGGCCGGCGATGCGGTTTTCGCCTTCCCTTTTCCTCGGGAGTTGTTGTTGCTTCGCAGCTGGACAACGGCCACCTGATCTCCCTCACGTGATGCTTGGGTGGTTGTCGGGTCTTCCACAATGTTGTCCGGTTGGACTGCAGCAACATGCTGCGGACGTGGACCAAATTCTCCTTTCTCCACATAGGTTGGCTGCCACGCTGACTTCTTGTGTGCAGCCGCCCTGTTGGTCTTGATGATCTCCCTTGCCTTGTCGATGATTTCGGCGAAGGTCGTGTATTGCTCGCTATCACCAAGTGCGAGGCTCAAGGCGGCACATGACCGGTTGTAGAACTCCCGGCGCAGATGCGAAAATGGCAACTCGAGATCGGGCGTTGCAGCGATCTTTTGCCATTCCGTGAGCCAGTCGCGTGTCGATGTGTTGCCTTGGGTCATGGCGAAGAGGCGGTTGATGGCGAGCGCTGGGGCGTCGTCCACGATGAACCGCTTCTTCCATAGCCTCGTCAACTATTCCCAAGAGATCTTCTCATGTAGGTCGGCGACCTGGATACCGTGAATGGTTGCCAGGTGGCTGAGCCAGATCTGGCATCCGCCCTTTGAGTTGAGGAACAGCGCGCCGATGTACGAGTGCTCGGGGACGAAAAGAATCCGAAGTTTCGTCGTAAAGCCCTCCCACCGGGGGACCGGGTCTTGATGCGTATAATCATTGAACTTTTCCATGCGGAATGTCTACTTCTTGTAGTGCTGCGCACTGGTGTTGCCATCCTTGTTGGGCAGCTGGTGCAGTTGCTGAACATCGGTCTTCAAGGTGTCCAGCTGCTTGCTGATGGTGGCTGGTGCAGCGAAGGTGCTGATGTCGCCGAGCATTGCGACTACATGGTCAACTCGTTCCTCCAATTGGCAGGCAAAGGGTGCACTGCTGGACTCGCCAGCATCTGGTCTTGGTGCAACTTGCTCCAAGTCCTGTACACGGGAATCAAGTGCCCATGTAGCATCCTCGTGCAGATCCTTGTGGTTCCGCACCGCCTGTCGGAGATTCGCCAGCTCGGGCTGCAGGTGGTTACAAGTGTAAACCAACCGGGTCACGAGTTTGGCAAGAAACTCCTTGTGCTGCTCTTCCGGTGTCGCGTCTTTGTGGTGCTCGGATGGTTCAAAATGCCAGAACTTGAGTTTTTCGATGCTGGCGGCTTCGTGCCGCTGTAGCAGATCCTGGGCGTCCTTGCGGCGTGCTTGGGTATCTGCGTCTGCTTCGGCCTGAAGCCGCTGCTTTTCAGCTGCTGCCGCCTGACGCTGTTCCTCAGCCTCGATCAGTGCGAGCTGAACCTGGAACCGCTGTCGGTACTCGGCAATGGGCTCATTGGCCAATTGGCCTGGCATGCCCAGAACTGAGACCGTCATGGTGACGGGGCACTGTTGCGGGCGTGGTACTGCTGATGTGGCACTGCTGACGTGGCGCTGTTGTTGACGTGGCACTTCTGATGACGTGGCACTGCTGACGTGGCACTGTTGTTGACGTGGCACTGTTGCTGACGAGGCACTGTTGTTGACGTGGCACTGCTGACGTGGCACTGTACCGAACCAGGAATGCAGGCAAAGGGTTGGGTGGGAGGGAAAACGCAGGTAGGTAACCAACCAAGCTATACTTTCCTCCCGGTCCTAATCAACAGAATAAAAAAAAAAAAAAAAAAAAAAGAAGAGGATCACCCCCCCCGCCCCCTTTTTTTTGTTTGGTATATTTGTCGATCTGCTATGAGTGAGGCATTTCAGAGGAGTACTATGAGCGAGATCTAGGCAAGATTCCGCAAAGTTTTGGCTTTCAAAAAAATGCCATCTTGAAAAAAAAAGTTGTGCAAAATAGAGTAGAGATGCGATTTTCAGAAAAGAACTAAATCCAGTTTTTGAGAATATGACAACCTCCTAATATGCCTAAAAACGAAATGCTGATAGACTTCGCAAGATTTCGGTTTTCAAAAGCACTTTTGCGAGATAGAATGGAGATTCAATTTTCAAAAAAGAATAAATCCGGTTTCCGAGAATATGACCACCTCTATCGTTATCGTAATATGCCTAGAAAACGAAATGCTAACATCAGAACTTTTCGGCTATGTATGCGAATATCAGAAATTTCGGATGCTAATATCAGAGAAACGAAATGCTCCTTTCAGAAATTTTCAGATATTTGTTGCATGAAAACAAAATGCTAATATCAGAAATTTTCAGATAAAACGAACTGCTATTATCAGGAATTTTCAGATAAAACGAAATGCTCTTATCAGAAATTTTCAGATATTCATTGCGAGAAAGAAAAAAAAATTCAGAGATTTGACGAAGTCCTACTTGATTTACTAATAAACAATCAATAGATCAAGCAAGCTGGCTACTTGATTGAGCGGATCCTCTGATTGAGAGGTCCACTCCGATACCAAACTGTCGCATACCGTAAAGGTGCATACCAGAACAAGAACCGACCTCTCTCACAAAGTCCAAGATAGCGTAGCGGAAGACTTAAATACCAATGATCCGAACAATCAATGTCGCAATGCAGCCCAAACATACATCATCATCATTCCATGGTGTGAAGGGGCCTGGCACTCACACAGGAAGAATGCGCCAGTCCCCAACCATACACAGACGAAGAAGAGGGGGTTTAGATGAAGAAGAGGGGAAGATGGGAATGTCGTCAACACCAAGTCTTCGGCATAGGCCCCAAATAATCCCTCGTCAAATGTCTGAATCCCAATGTTGAGTCTGGATCCAATGTCGTCAAGTCCCAAAGTCACCAATCTCTCTCTCCCGTAGTCTGCAGGTACTGAGAAGTTACGTAGCGAGAGGGGGAGGAGGAGATGGTGGACTTAGAAGAGGAAGAAGAAGAACTCTCTCTCTCTCTCTCAGTCCGGTACTAACCTGTGAAGGTGGCGCCTTGTTGGAGGTATATCGAAGACGAAGCTGGAGCTATGGCGCCACAGGTAAGTCTCCCTGGCCTTCGCCAACCATCTCTCTCTCTCTCCACTACTACTCTAGCTCCTAATAGCGCCCAGCGCTGAAGACTACTGCTAACGCTACTGCTACTACTGCAGCACTCCTCCAGAGTGCTGCTGCCGAATACTGAAGACTGCCTCTTGCCTCCTGCACGTGAAGTGCCTGGGAAGTTCCTAGGAACTACCTCGTGACTGTCTGCAGCCTATAGGGCGGGCCAGTCTTATATAGTGCTAGCCCGTCCAGGAGGCTGCTCTTGCCAATGCCAAAACGTGCCAGAACCTGGCGTTGAAGTTCAACCAAGGGTGGCCTGTGCTAAAACCCTGGTCTGGTGCCTAAGTTTCAGGGCAGGTCGATCTTATGAGGGCCTGAAAATGGCCGTCCGTTTCAGGCTGAAACAACTCAGGGCCTGGAAAGCCCTGTTTTAGGCTGAAACGACATAGGGTCTGCAGGCCCTCGTTTTCAGGCTTTCAGGCTGAAACGACACAGGGCCTGTAACCCCTAGTTTTCAGGCTTTTAGGCTGAAAACGACACAGGGTTTGTAGGCTCTTGTTTTCAGGCTTTAGGCTGAGAACGCTGGTCGGGCCCTGCAGGTTCGTGTGGCTGCGCAGTATGCCACTCTCTCTCTCTCTCTCTCTCTCTCTCTCTCTCACACACACACACACACACACACACACACACACACACACACACACACACACACACACACA